GATATTTCAGTTTAGAATGTGGTAATTGGTCTAATTATCTTGTTTGGATAAAACATTCAAATATTGTGATATTTCACCACTTAAAGAAGAGATGAAGTGGAAAAATAAGTTGAGAGATGAGTTATTTGAAATAACTAGGGAGTGGGTAGGTATTTCAAATAACTCACAATGAATTATTTCAATTGTTCTATAAAATACCACATTCAATTCTATTTTTGCCCAACGATTTATTACACCATTCTATTTTTGCCTATTAGTTGGGCTCTTCTTTTGTTTTCAAGGGTCCCTAGTCTCATTCATGATAAGACTTTGTTGCCTCCCTTGCTGTGTATGTAAGTACTCTAGTTCGGTTTTTATTTAATTGAATTCGCCATTATCTATAAAAAAACTCATTTTGAGTTATTTCGATCGAAATACCTCATCAAAATACTGCATCCAAACAACCCGTTAACTAATTATGACCTTAGGATTACCATTTTAATCTAATGGTTGTTAAACAAGTTAGTATGGTTAAGGGGTTGGTGTGTTCTTTAACAAAGTGCAGATGAGACTGGAGATATCGGTGGCATAATGAAGACATTAAGTTGATGAGTTTGACTAGGTTGTTCTTCAGGGGAACCCGAATTCTAGGGCTTCGGTAGGGGTCGAATGACAAGTCTCTTTTACAACTATGGGTAGGGCCGTTAATCGGGTCGGTTAACCCGCCACCAAAACCGCTAGCCAACGGCGTGGTTAATCGGCAAACCGATCCCGACCAAAATAAATAAAACAAGGGACTTTTGTTTCTCTCTTTTTATCTCTCGAAGTTTCCCAGTCCCAATCTTGTATCTCTTCTTCTCTCTCAAAATTTCCAAATTAAAACCTAAATCCTCTCATGCAATCTCCGATTACTCAATGTTTAAGGCAGGGGAGATGCAGTGACAAAGATCGGAGGTCTTCTCAATCCCCGATCGACTAACTAAATCCACTCACCTCATGCAATCTTCTATCACTTGGGTTTTCACGAGTTGGGAGAAACAAGGAGGCCAAGGACAGAGGACGACCTGGGACGACTGACGAAGAAGAGATTACCAGCAAATCCTGCACCGTCACTCCGCCTTCATCATCCTCGACGAAGCCCAAGCGATTGTCGGCTGCGAGTTTGCCGATTTGCAAAACTGAGATCTGCAGCTGATTTTCTGTGGTCAGAGTACGATGCGTTGGTGGCGAGTGAGGGGAGTGGAGATAGGCGACGAAAGGTGACCCCCAATTTGGTAAAGGAGTGGTGAGGTCGAGACCAAAAGACGAGGTGGGGTGGTGAGCTAGAGGAAGTTGAGAGGGATTGGTGAACAGGGGTTGGTCTAGAGTGTGGAAATTTGATTTGGAGTGAAGATCATAAAGGATTGCTGGCTCCAATTGCAATGGCAACGATTGGCGGCTCGGAGCTCTCTTTCTCGTCGGCAATCTTTGAATTGCCACACCAAATCGACGACACTGAAGAGTGAAGAGGTAGAGAAAGGCAGGGCGACAGCAACCGAGGAAGGCGAAGCGGGAGCGACGACCGAGATCTCGCTAACCTAGTTCTCCTCGACCTCCGAGGCTGAATAAGGCAGGAAGGGATAGAGGAAGGAGTTTATGCGGCGAGGTTCAAATCTAACAAAGTAATGGGCGGAGCCGTGAAGTGGAGGGCCGAGATTCAAGCTTTGCGATTCACGATTAGCGATCGACCACCGACAGTTAGCAACCGACCACCGACGATCAACAAATAATCCAAAATTCTCCAACCGACACCGCCACAGAGGCCTTTTTATCGATTTTTTATGGCCGAATAACCGCCAATGGCGGGTCGGGTTATCAATGGGGAAATTTGTTTGGCTCGAGCACCTCGATTCGTGGGGATTAGGTATGCAGTTATCATGAAGATTCTAGAGCAACATGCATGCAACATTTATCAACTTCAAATCTTCTCCATTTACCTAATCACGATCATTCCAATGTTTTATAAGAAATCACATACTCTAGTTCATATCATCAACAATAATGAAAATATCAAATTAATCATCCATCGTCAAATGTATCAGCATGCAGTCTAATATCAACTTGTCAATTCCAAAACACGTCATTACTTTAATAGGAGCACATCAGTAGAAACCATCATCACACCACCAATAAATCCAGAAGGAAATAAAGAGCAGAATAGGATAGACAAGCTAATATCACAAAGGCACATTGTGACAAATGAAAAGAAGCAACAAAGTTGAGTCCAACAGCTGACAGAGACCATGGTATAACATCAATCAGTTCCAATCAAACCTTCTTCAACCTTTTCGCTTTCACCTCTCCATGGGCCGGAGAAGCAGCAGCGACATCCACTGCTCTTGTCCTCAATCGAGCCTCCTCGACCTCCTTTCCTCTTCAACCTCTCCATGGGCCGGAGCAGCAGCAACATCCATCGCTCTGGCCAGCCCCAATTGAGCCTCCTCCTTCAACCTCCTTTCCTCTTCCTCTTCGCGACTCCTCCACCTGGGGATCATGTCCAGCATCTCCTGTAGCTCAGCTATTTCTGTCTGCCTTGAACTCCCAGCCGCTGCACCAAAGTTTTTTGGTCAGAAAACAAAAATACAAAGGACAGAGGAAGACGGCATGCAAATTAACAAAACACGATTCACAACGCTGCTCACTATATCTAAACCAATCATTATCAGCACCTTGGGCGCTAGCAAGACCAGCACGAAGCCAAGCAGCGGTACGATCCACTGCTTCTGGCCCGAAGAACTGAGGATCCCTCAACCTCCTCTCTCGCCGCTCTCTTTCCCATTGCCTCATCTGCTCCTCAAATTGTGCCACCATCACCATATCCCGAGCCAGTTCTTCCTCCACTGACCTCCTGGCGGCCTCTGCATAGAAAGTTTGGAGTCAGAAAACCAAAATGCAACAGTGGACGGAAGAGGACAGTAAAATAAGTAAATAACAAACAAACAATCGGAACCCAATACACCGCTGAACTGATCGCCTACTCCCTATATCCCAACTAAGACATTATTATTCAACGAGCAAAGACCCTAAACCACGAACTAGCTAGCTAGATTCTCTATCCTCGCGAACGAATTTGGATCAAGGAATTGTGTATCGTCAAATATATATGGCGGAATCAAAGGGGAAACGTAGATAGACAAACCTTGATCAGCAAAGAGCTCCGGCTCCCCAGAATTCAACATGATGGCTGGCCGGCGCAACACAATCAATCAAAACTTACCTGCCACTGCCAGTAAACAAGCGAATACGCAACTTGAGAAACAATCGCACAAGAAAAGAGAAGAGGCGAGAGCTCCGGCGGATCGACAACTAACCTTGGGAGAGCGATTCTGCGATTTCTGCGTTTAGGGTTTGAGAACTGTTACTGGGTCGATAGGAGAATCTGGATTTTGAGTAACGAGTGTTACTATTCGTCGCCCTGAATTTTTAAATTTTGTCGCCCTAAACCATACAAATTTACAAAACAACCCTTCATTTAATTTTATGGTTCAATCACCTAGAATTAATGCTCAAACCATCTAACCCAATAGGGATGGCAATCAAACCCATGGCCGCGGGTACCCGACCGTCCCATACCCAGTCAACGCGGGGAATCCCCGCTTTGACCGGGTATGGGGCGGGTATGGGTAAAACCCGCAAAAGGTTTGATGGGTATGGGGCGGGTATGGTTTTAGCCTCCCCCGCCCCATACCCATACCCATACCCGCCCCACCAAGAGAATTTCTTCACATATCAAAAAATACGTGGATTAAATTGTAATATATCAATGATGATGATGATAACTCGAGAAAATAAATAGTAGAAATGCAATTGAGTAACCACCTTAATCAAAACCTAATTCATTTCCCTCAATTCTCCTTCCACTCTTTCACTTTCCCCCTTGTCAACAAAATTATGTTAGTTAATTATTACTTAGTAAATGTATCAAGAGTTAGAGCATACTGATTTAAAAAATATTATAGTCTATATTATGTATTAATGGATGTTTTAGGATCATATTCTTTGAATCGTATTTAGAAAATGACTGTGTTTTGTTGACTTCGTGATATAATAGGTTTGTTTATGGTTATAATTAAAACTTTTCTTGTAAGTTTTAGGTATAATAATGTTGGATGTACGGGGATGGGTATTACCCATGGGTACCCGAAACCCACGGGTATGGGGATGGGTTTGCAAAACATTACCCTGCATGGGTATGGGGCGGGTATGGGTTTGGGTATTTAAAGATGGGGATGGGGATGGTTTAGGCAAACCCGCCCCAAACCCGCCCCATTGCCATCCCTATAACCCAACCCATTTAACTCTTTCTTCCAACACAAAACAGAAATATCAAACCAAAAATTAAAACCAAACCACACAACACAAATTCCAACTACAATCTTCTACATTGATAAATTTTCGTCGGATTCCGGCGAGTTTGCCGAAGGTAGAGAAGTAGTCGGTCTCGATCGTCATAGCATGCAGAGACTCGGACTAAAAGTAAGATTTCGTTTGCAATTTTTTTTTCTTCTGGAAAACAAGTCGAGCATGTTGAAAATCTGCCTCGACCGGTGGTCAAGCATGTTGAAACCCTGCATCAGCCATGGAACGGACGGGTTGTCCACCTGCCCGTTCCATCCTCCAGGAATGCTCACAACATGCTCGTCCTCCTGTCTTAGCATGTTTTCAACATGCTCGACCAATGGTTCTTTCTTGTTTTTAACATGGACGTCCCTCGGTCTGGTCTAGTTTTGAACATGCTCGAGTTAACTTTGTGATGTCATAGACCTTTTTTAATGAAAATTCACATAAATTATAATATTTATGTTCATTAAGTTTCGTTGTTAATTGTGTTTATTAGGAAGGAGGATAAAAATCTTGTGCCACCATCATTTACTAACAAGGAAACTATTATGAATGATTCGGTAAGTAGTTATTTTTTATAATTTAATTATCGTAACATAATTGTTGCACAACTAAATGTTTTTACCTTGTATTTCTTGTAGGGTGGATCCGGAGTTAATGAGGGTGACAATGTTGATTGCACATCATTGTTTCTAAGTGATGTTTATGATACCCATGATCAAGCTTGTAAAGCGGCAAAGGAGATTGCCATGAGTAATAGTTTTTCCTTGATAGTGGCATCAGTCAAGAGAAACCTTGGAGAAGGCAATCCGCGGATCTATATGGATTGCAACCATGGTAGTAGGAGCAACTCATATACGTCTGATCCCGCAAAGACAACACGGAGCAAATCTACAACAGGCAAGTTAGGTTGTCGTTTCCGAGTGGTGGTGCAATCCGTAAAAATAGATGGCAAGTGTAAGTGGAGAATTCATGGGATTAAGTCGAGTGGATTTCACAGTCACAGATTGGAGGTTTACTCTGAGCGAAGCAGGCAAAAGAATGCTCTTTCGCATGTGGAAAAAATGAATATTAAGGAGTTGGAGGCAACGCATACTCAGGCGAAAGATATCAGAAGTTTGCTCAATATGAAGTACGATGCTCATCACAACATGACTCAGATTTATAACGAGACAGCAAAAATTAGGCGTGAGAGATTGGGTGGGTTGAAACCTATGCGGTGGACATTGATAGAAGCTCAACGTCTTGGCTACTTTATTGAGTGTGAATTTGATGATCAACGTCGTGTTACTAGACTCTTCCTATGCCATCCTGAGTCGATTCGGATGTTGTTGGCATGGTATTTTGTTGTTTTGATAGACTCGACGTACAAGACTAACAAGTATAAGCAGCCACTGGTTCAGTTGATTGGTGTTAGTCCGGTGAAGAAGAACTTCAACATTGGGTTCGCATTGATTTCAGATGAGATGAAGGAGACATATGCTTGGGTTTTGATGCAATTGAAGATTGTGCTTGGTGATCGATGAAGAGAATGATTAAACATCGTTGCCTTAGATTGGGATGAGTTATACCAACAGGAGCAGGAATTGTATGCCATCCTTGGAGGACATTATCCACCCACTGACGATGAAGAGAATGATTAAATATTGTTGCCTTAGATTGATTATGTTATTGATGTGTCTAGTGTGTGTTTATGTTCAAATTTGTGTGGATTTAGGTGCAATTATCAAGGATTGACATTTTGTGTTAAAATGTATGTGATTTTAGGTGGAATTAATTAATGATTTTGTGTTCAAATTTATGTGGATTTAGTTGAAATTAATCAATTGTGTTCACAATTATTGTTGCTGAAAAAATAGACTAGGCAGGTTGAAAACCTGCCTGCACCACGGACCAAACATTTCACTTACCCATATTCACCATGGGTTGAGCATGTTGCACACCCACCTGACGGATGGTGCAGGAATATACCCTTCCAGCACAGGCCGTGAACAAAGCATGTTGTGAACCCGCCTTCCTGGAGGTGCGGGCATATATCCTACCCGCCCTTCCGGAGGTCGAGCCATATTTTCTACCCTTCTGACCGCTGGTTGAGCCATATTCCCTACCCGCCCTATGGTTAAAAATTGTTGTTTGTTGTGTTTTTGTTAGATTTATAAGTAGTGGTTAAAATTTTTAATGAGTATATAAACACTCAAACATAACACATCCAAATGTACCTTAAGAAATATCCAACATCAAAACATAAAATATCCAACATCCAAATGTACCTTAACAAATATCCAACATCAACCTTAACAAATATCCAACATCAAAACATAAAATATCCACCATCCAAAACACAAACAAACTAGAACTCAAAATCTAAACAACAATGTTCAACATTGAATAACTACTAGGCGAATGGGCGATACGGTCTCTGTTCCCTAAAGTCAACGTACTTGTCACGAACCCGTCGAACCAAATAACCATAGGCACCCAACCTGTCAAGATCCTCATCAGGAGCACGAAGCAAGAGATCAATGCCATCAATAATCTGACACGCTAGCTGCAATGTCCAAGGAATAAACTTAAGTGTTACAAAAACGAAAAGCAAGAGATCACTATCAATAAACCAAAACGAAAAAGAATTCAAACTTACAATCTCATGCGTCAATGGCGCCGACTCCTGCTGCTCACCATCTCTGGAGGGGCCAATGTGTAGGTGGGTGCGCTCTGTGTACCACTTAAAGTACAATGGGTCAACATCTCCGGTGTCATCAAAAGGTGTGGAGAAGGCATCCAGATTGATCAACTGACCGCGAGTCCCCCAAAGTTGAACAATCCCTGCTCCAAAGATGACCTTATAGGTCCCAACAGCAGGTCGACTGACATCAAATGGTAGAACAACAGGATCAGGAATCACCTGTCTGTAGCCAAACTGACGGAGGACACGTGAGGGATCGTATGTCTCAGCAACATCATAGACACGTATCACACCCCGATACAAAGATCTAGGAAAAGCACGACTAGCGTCCGAGAACCCTCGATTTTTCCTTGCCCCTTCTTTCGCTCATTGTTGCCTGCTATCAAGAAAATAAAATTATTTATTTTCAGAATTGTAATTGACAACCATACATCTTTTAACTATACATAATAATTATTTACAACCATAAAATTTATGAATTCCAATACAAATTATATTGTCAAATACTAATTATATTAATCATCACAATTCATATACTAATTCTTACCCTTTCTTTCGCTTATTTTTACCAACTATCAAGAACCCTCAATTCGTGACAACAGATATAACGAAGGCACGATATCATCTCTCACTAGGGATCTAAGCGTGAAAAGGGTGCAAAATCAACCAACGAGCAGGAAGCCAACCGAAAAGAAGCCAACTACAAAATTACCACCAACGGAAACCATTGAAAAAAGCCACGAATCCTTCCCCAACCTGACCATCCTGTACCACTGCACCGAGATAATACCGCAAATCCAAAGTGCACTATGTCACCATTTTTTCGAACAGCAGAAAACTACCTATAATGAAGCACAGACTATCCACAAAACCTCCCAACCACAATTGCAACTTACCTAAACATGGCAGCTAAAAACCCCAAATAATAAAGACAGCTAAGACACATGAGCCAAACCCTTCCCCATCCTGTGGGGCTTAACCGTGAGATAATGCCGTAAACCCAAAGAGCACAATGTCACAAATTTTCCAAATAGCAGAAAACTACCTACAATGAAGCACCGACTGTCCACAAAACCTCCCAACCACAAGTCCATTAACAGATGACAGATACTGAACAACCCCGCAAAACACACATTATCACTATTCTAACCATTAACATTTGCATTTTAATTCAAAAAAAAAAAATCAAAACAGGTCGGACGGGTCGGGCCAGGGTCATGGCGGGCCGGACCAGGGTCAGGGCGAGTCAGAGACCGGATCGGACCAGGGTCGGGGCAGGTGGGCTACCTGGCTCCGCCGGATCCGCGCGGGTGCCCTGCCTGCGTCTACCCCGGCCCAAATCGACGCCCTACCTGCCTCTAGCCACTGGCGACGGGTTTTCAACTCGCGACGTCGGCGCAACTCAACCAAACGAGAAGAGAGGGAGAGAGAGATTTACCTCTGGCGGGTCTGAGCAGAAGCAGAGGGCTAGAGGCGGACGATTAACAAGTCGAGCTTCTCCTTCCTCCTCGGCGACAGTGCGGTGGATCTGGGCTTGGGCGAAGATGCTGGCGGCGACAGGTCTGGGTGGCGGCGACGGGTCTTGGTGGTGGAGGCGAGTCTGGGTGAGGGTGGCGGCGACTTCCTCTCCTCCTGGATGGCGCCGGAGCTTGGCGGACGATTAACAAGTCGAGCTTCTCCTTCCTCCTCGGCGACAGTGCGGCGGATCTGAGCTTGGGCGAAGATGCTGGCGGCGACGGGTCTGGGTGGCGGCGATGGGTCTTGGTGGTGGAGGCGAGTCTGGGTGAGGGTGGCGGCGACTTCCTCTCCTCCTGGATGGCGCCGGAGCTCTGGGTGAGGGGTGAGGGTGGCGGAGCTCTGGGTGAGGGGTAAGGGACGGCAGGGTCTGGGTGGCGGTAGGGTTCTGTTTTGGGGAAAATAGGGTAAGGGACGGGTGGGTCAATTTAGGGTTTAGGTTAAATGAGGGGTAAACTTGTCCGTGTATGTAAGTTTAGGGCTATAAATTCAAAAACTTAGGGCGACAAATAGGAATTCAGTTTAGAACCCCCGAGTCTGGAAAAGGAAAAAAGAAAGGATTATTATAAGTTTCTTTGTTCCTTTCGGTTAGAGAAAAGGCCTGCTCTACTGGTATTGGACACGTAATTGGGCTACAAGCCCATCTAGTTAACCAGGTTGAACTAAAAGAGTGTGGATCAATTGAATGGCCTTATCTTTTTGCAATTCTTCGGAAGCTGGGCTTCTCTGCAGAATGGATTTATTGGGTTAAGGAATGTGTTTGTTCGACCTCCTTTTCGATTCTTGTTGACGGTACTCCTTCTGGGTATTTCTCTTCTTCTCGGGGACTACGTCAAGGTGAAAAGAGTGTGGATCAATTAGTGGCTTTTGACGATGAAGATGTTGATATAGGTGGGCTCAATTGAGTGCGATTGGAAGTAGGGGTGGAAATTCGGTGTCGGTTTTGTGGTTAAACTGCTAACCGCATCCAAACCATGCGGTTAATGGTTAATCACAAACCGGAAAAATAGCCTCTTTTGTGATCGTGGTTAGAGATATTAAGAGTTTTTCGGTTTGCAGTTTAACTGTAATAGAAACCGAAGTAAGAGGTAACCGCAGTGCTAACCGCATTACAAACTGCTCCACCCAACCGAAATACAAGAAGCCCACCGACCGGGATCTGAGACCATTTCCCAGCACCAGCCAGTCCGCCCTCCGGCCTTCCCTTACCTAACGACCTAGCCTTGCAAACAATTGCCCAGAATCTAATATGGAAGATTGAAATATTCAAACAGAGTAGTCGTCCCTTCTCGTCCTCCCTTCCCTCGTCCCATCCGCCTCCGCCCATAATCGGATCTCACTCGTCGCTTGACGCTTGTATCGCCACGTCTTCCTCCATTCCAACATTCTATTCGAGTTTGGTAACCACCAGTCGGCCTCCATTCCAACATTCATCCATCTGCTCAACTTCTCAAGCATCTTCCTCCATTCCAGAATTCCTCTTCATCGATCCTAAACTTCCTCAATCCTCTCCATTCCAACAAAGGACTGCTAGAAGCTTGAGAATCTGGACAGGGACTGTTGATTTCCCCCTCGTTTTAGCAGATTTTTGGGTTAGGTATGTGGTTATTAGAGTAACCACGGTTTTGCACACACATATGGTTATCACGGTTAATTGCGATACTAACCAAGGCTAACCGTTAACCGCAATTTGCGGTTAGTGGTTAACCGCTAACAGTGAACATTGCGGTCACGGTTGCCGGATATGACACTTTTGCGGCTGTGGTTAACCGCGAGTTGTGGTTAACCATAACCGCACCGTTTCCCAGCCCTAATTGGAAGGCACTTCTCCCATATTGTATTAGATTGTGGATCTTAAATCAAAAGAACGCGAGTTTTGTTCTTTATTGGCGTTTAACCTTCGGTTCATTGGTCGTGATTGTCGAAACCGCGCGGTTTGCGGTTAACCACACCAAAAGAATAATCTATTTTGCGGTAGAGGTTTCTAATATCTCCTCTTTTGCGATGTAACCGCAACCGAAACCGAATTCATCCTAACCGAAGACTAAGAGAATTAGCTAATACCCACCAGCCCAGCCCACAACCCTTCCCCCACTTCATCCCAGGCTTTCAGCGGCGGACCCAGCCCACCACCTTGACCCTCCTCCCTCAGTCACTCGTCCTCTACTTATTTGTCACTTGTCCAAATTCCGAAAGACCAAAACCTGAATGTAAATCCTAACTCGTAGTCGTCATCGCAAGCTAATTTGTCGTTCTTCATTCCTCCTCTACAAATTAGCTTTCCGTTCGTCACTTCATCTCCAAGCTAATTTGTCGCCAGTGCCGGAGAAGAAGGATGCGTCGGTCGGGAATCCTTCACTGACCACCACTCTGCCTCGTTTCCTCTTATTCTGTTGGCAACTCCGGCTCAGGTGGGGCCTCTTCTTCCCAACTCCAAACTCCCATCGACTAGCAGCACCAAGAAGCTGCTAACAGCGGTTAAACTTTAACCGCACATTGTTGTTAACCACAAACCGCAAGCTTTGCGGTGGCGGTTGGCGAATATGGACTGTTTGAGGTTGTAAGTAACCGCAAATTTCGGCGCGGTTAATCGCAACCACACCAATTCCAAGCCCTGCTCATTTGGTGGCTCGTCATACTCTGTTTTTGTCATCTCGTTTGTTAGTGTAGTTTAACTTCGTTTCCTAATTTAATAGTAGATAGAGGTTCATATGTAACTCGATCTAGACCTTGTTCTTTTCCTCTTAATAAGAGTGATCGAACGAAGAAGAAAACAAGTTAAAAGTGATTTTGCTCTTTTTCAACCTAGCACTTTTCGATGCATACGTAGGAACTGGGTCAATTAATCTATAACTCTATTAGATGATTGCAAATGAATTTTTTTCATGCAGCGTAGTACAACTACATACATTACCACCTCTATAGGGCAAATTAATCCCCAGTTAGAGATGGGCAATGGGTGGGTGATGGCGGATGGTATGTGTTTTTTAATATTTGATGGATCAAATAAAAATTACAAATATTAAAATAATTATGAGCCACTAGGGTACAGTTTGAATTAAGGGTGGATTGCGTGGGGGATGGCAGATGGTGGGTGTGTTTTCCTGGATAAAATAAAAATTATAAATAATAAAATAATTACGAGTCATAAAAACTTACAATGAGAACCCCCCAAAGGGTTGGTCCAGTGGTAAAGTTGGAGGATAAACTTACAACGAAGGGTATGACATGTTTGATGAGTTTTACTTCATAGATTATTTTATGAAACTGATCATGTTAGCATTTACTGCATCAGCCTCAACCTCATGTACTTTCATGGTTTGGTGCACTAATTCTACTGGCAGTCCATTGGTTAGTAGTATTTTCATTATTTTTAGTGAAGGTGATAATGTTATTGAAGAAACAAAAGAATCCAACAACTTGAAGAAGGTGTAGGTGCAAGAGAAGCAATAAAGAATGGAGGAGGATGGAAAGTAGGCAAAGAGAAATCGATAGAAGGTTTGAAAAATTACAGCTTCAACCTTTGCCAAACAAATATGGATAAGAGACTGACTTCATATCCGTTCATATTGTGCTGACACCATTGAGACCATGATCCAACAACCATTGGATCTTGATCTCGACAATGTTAGCACGATCTGGCACTATTCATAGTCAGTCTCATAACCGAGCTCCTTCCAAACTCAACCAAAAGCAACAAAAGCAAGTTAGAGAGACATCAAATGGAGGCATCAAACGTGAATACCAAGTTGTTAATGATCAATGAGTTAAATGATTTATGAGAAACTCGAAAAGCG